TCTATTGTCATCATCAACCACCATAGGTGCCAAGGCTTGGAATGTCTTTTGAGCGCTTGGAATGATTTGTTCTCGAGTTCTTCGAAATCCCAGTGATGTTGACAACAGAATCTGGTGTGTTGATCTTGACCTTGGTCGCACCGCAAGCGTCCTCATTACATGGCAGACATATCCTTTGGCCACAGTTAGGCTGCCGGGTGTATTTGCAGAGCCATTGTACTTGAAAGATGATCCCATTTCACAAGGCGTTTGGATCCCTAGTCGGAGGGATGTGGCTTGATGACTCAGAGAGCCCAGAAAGGCAAAAGGGTGAAATCAAAGGGGGGGGGGGGGGGGGAAACACGAGGGGAGGGGGGGGGGAATATGACAGCTGCAGTGCGAAGGAGGGAGATGCTGAAAAATGTGAAGGGCTTTCCACTCATTTCTGAGGCAAAAGCTTTTTGAGATCCACAAGTTAAAATGTGTTTTATTTTTCGATGTAGTTATACTGTCTAATCCACAGACAGGCCGTACTCGTTATTTCAAGTGAGCGGTGAATTGTGTGGAACTGACTTTTGATAAATTGTGCTTTGAAGCAACTTCGGCAAAACGGAGCGCTCCACTCGGTGGCAACCAGAACCACTGTGCTATCGGTTCGGGGCAAAATCCGCTAATGTGACAACTCCTGCGGGCAGTACTATATTGTTCAAGACAATGTTGGCGGCAAAAGAAGCCAGATCAGGAAAAAAAAAGAATACATCGCAGATTCCTTGGTCAACACGTGCTGTCCAAGAAATGCAATCAATAGGCAAAACAATGGGCTGATGACTGTCTGGATCGCATGCAAAGACAGCATGCATGTATTCCATTTAAAATCAATCTATTTCTTTTCTAGACGCATCTTGAACACCAAACCACACAAACGGTGAAATCACCGATATAAATGTGCTGAAACTTTTCATAATATCGTGCTTCTACAATTGCGTGAATCGCTCGTGCAGTATGAAACAGGGTCAGAAGGTTTAGAAGGCCAACTAAATTACTTGGAAACCATCGTCTTCCCATTTTCAGAGTTGAGCGTTTCAGGGGAATAAACGAGCACGTTCCTTCCACTCATGAGAACGACCCCTAAAGTCGCAGGTCACGGCACATCCGTGCTTGTTGTTTTCTTGAACCTCTGCTGGAAAACATTTCATTTCTTTTTCTGCAGCTGGAGTGCATTCCGTGAAAACGCTTGAAGACATCAATAGCAAATACGCGCAATTGAGACGCACGTGCGCTGTGGCATATAAATTCACGGCCATCAATTTGATTATTTCTATAATCTGAGACCAATAATTCTGTTTCACGACAGCCACAATGCCGGCTTCATCTGACTTTTCGTCACTCCTTCGAGATGACGCAAAACAAACTATCAGTCTTTCCGCACCCCCCACTGTTTTCTGCGGGTTGCTGTTAAAGCTGGCGTTGATAAGTGGCCGCCTCTCCATTAACAGCCTGAGCTCAAAGGAACCATAAATCCAACAGTTTGTTGTGCGTGAGTGTTGATGTGCGTTTGTGTGTCTGGAAACGTTGAGAGATGAGAGTGATGCTTTGAGAATGCTCCGAGATCCTACCTCACCAGCATGACAAATATTTTTGGGTGCGTGGCCATGTTAGCCGAGTACTTACGGGAAACGTGAGGGGCCGCCTCGCAATGATGCCATGAAATATCTTCGTAATAACCTGTTAGCCACCAACTAAGCACAGCGCCAAGTTTGTTTTGGGTGGAAAAGTGGTAGCGGCGGTGACGTCAGCGCACACCATGCACACACAAGGCGTTACTACACTCACTTCCTTCCCTAACCCCGCCTGCATCCCCATGACAAGTACATCAAGTCTCTATTTCTCCCACGTGGTCACGCGCGCTCTTATTTTGACAGGGTGCACTCACAAAGCTCCAAGGCTGACTGCAGTGTCAATGCTGCTCGCAGCACCATGCACCAGTGATCCTTATTTACATCCAATCCAGTCTGCGGGCTAAAAATATGTCAGCACCCGATGCCGCCGCCTCCGCCTCCCCTTTGCCACTTCCCGCATCAAACCGACGCCAACACTTGGTCACTCATCCCGAAGGGAAACACATGTGGCTGCGCCATCGTTCACCAGCTTGGACTTAAGAATGAACTCTGCATTCCACAGTTTTCGTATTGTTCAACTTGAACGCTCTGCGACCATGCTGTCTGTTCGAAGCAGCTGTTGGATAAAGTCTTTCTGCAGCAGACAGACTCGTCTGAGCGTGTGTGTGCGCGTGTGTGTGAGCACAAGCAAGAGCGGGGACCATCATATCTCCGTTCCTTAACAAGGCAAAACAGCGGCGGTTTGACCGCTTTAGTCCGTGACCAGGGCGGTGGGGGTCGTGAGGACTTATGGGGACAAATGTCAAACGTGAGTCACCGTCGAGGCGTCGGGGTCGCAGTCATCAAAGTGCGTCTGGGCGGGAAGTCGCCGGGGGGACAAGACCTCCGATGTTTGTAGTCAGCGTGACGGATAAAAGGTGTCAGGGACCTTCTTGTCTCTGTAGCGACAGCTTGTGTCCCTCCAGCTTTATCATTGGCCAACTCTGCTGTGCACTCCAATACTTCCCTGGACTGCGTTTTTCCAAATAAGATGGCTTTGTCGACATGAAGCCGTCAGACGCGGACGATGCTTAAAATTAAGACGCATGCCCAAATGGCTCTGTTGGCTTTGAATCAACATTCAGTCAAGTCGGTAATGCCCTTGTTTGACATTTACGGGGAACGTCTATTGAAGTGAAACTTTCCGTAATTTTAACGCGAGGGGGGCCGGACACACCTCCTTGCGATGTAAATACAACGTTCCGGTGTGTAAGCTGAATCCAAATCAACAACCAGCATGCCGACCACAGCCTCGGAACAGGCTTTAAAAGAGCTTTAAAAGGATTGGATGGGGAGAGGAGTGAGAGTGTGACACACAATTCACAGAAAAAGACTCGAGAGAGATGGAAAGAAAATTACACGTGGCACCCACAGCAAATGAGAGCGCACAAAGAGCAGCGAAATTATCCCAAGTTCAACATTGGGACCGTCTTGGAAGCGGAACGGCAAGGTGCGAGGGAGAAATGAATCATGCGGCGGAAACGCCACTTCGCTGGCATAATGCAAAAGCCCCTGAAACAACCGCCGCTATTTATTCACCACACCGTGACACTTGAGAAAAGAAAACGCTCTCACGCTGCCCACTGAGCAATGGCCATGTTTTTTCCTCTCCTTTTGAAATTCATTTAATGACCTCATTCACGCAGACCTAAACATGTCATGTGCTTCCCAGCTCGCTAGTGGATCATGCAAATTTACTCTCAGCAAAACCTTCCACGATTTACTTCCAGGCTGCGTACGCGAGACTCTCCATGTATCGCAAACCAAGCTGCGCCGGACAGCAAACAGCGTGACACGGGAGAGCAAACCAGCAGCCATCTTCTTGGCATGATTGCAGGAGGAGGAAGCGCGGCGGGCAGACAACTGACTATCAACGGCTGCAAAAAGGGAGACAAATCCAGAAGCCTCGGCAGACAAAATCGAGGCCTCCGGGGCCCTCAATCTGCAGACCTTTCAAAGCCGTTTGGAACGAGACCGCTGGACACTTTTGTCCCACTGGAGTATCCATTCACAACAAACTGAAGTGCTCTAACACTGAAGAGGTGAGAAGGACAACAGCATGACACAAATCCATAAACGTATTTCATCTCAAATTCCAGCCAACAAGGCAACGGTGACACAGAGGGAGAGGAGGAAGAAGAAAGCGAGCGGGGAAACGGTGACCATGAGCTTGGCTGTGAATCAGATACATCGTTCAAACTGCGAAGATCAATTTTTCCACGCCAGTTTTCTTGAGGGCTTGCGGAACATGGAACGCTTTGGGTCGGCGTGGGGGGAGATAACGCAGGAGAGGTGAAAGGATCCACAATCGCACGAATGCTCGGATTTCAAAAATACTCATTGAATAATCGCATGGTCAATAAGTAAGCCCGGTGGTAAAGTGTCGACTTACATGAACCAAGGGTTCATAGATGAGTTTGTCACAAGTTCAAAAATAAGTCGGACAATTCTAGAAGCAAAGCTGATAAGACTAAAAGGTTAATAATACCGAGCATGGTATCGCTGAAAAAACAAAAAGATCAATACTTTAGTACTATGGAAAAAAACACATTTGAAATGTGAAGAAACCGAAAATGAACATTTTTGTTATTCTAATTTTCCCGCGCCTATCACAGCAGTGACGGCGTCCATCTGGGATCTCGTCACAGTTTGCGATCGAGCAACCCGAGATTGATCGTTTGCGTCTTCATGCACCGAGCAGGCGATCGCAGGAGTTTCCTCACATAAGGCTGCTGAGAAAACAGCACGCAGTCATCGTCGTGATTATTTCGCCCTCTTTTTTGACCAAATTCTGAGCGTAGCAAGTTGAATGCAAAACAAAGAGGACGGATAATGAACGCATCCGCGGCGACTTATAAATGACGTCATCTGTAAGTAGCGCACAAGAAAAGAATCGATTGGTTACCATGTTCAGTCTAATCATTTACCAAACGGACAAAGACAAAATAGAGTGGCATTCAATAAAACAGTCATATAGCTTCTAAAAATCAAGAAAGGAACCGGACCGGACTCTCATTCACACACATAATGCATGACACATAAACTACTGCCACATCTGCAGGCAATAACATCGCAAACAGCATTAGCGTGCCAGTGAATAGCAGGACCGTGGTTGCATCTTTAATAGGAATTTAAAAAAAAAAAAAAACAGGTAATGCAGCTCGGGGCTTGTCAGGTTTTTAATTTGTGGGCGTAATGACGTTTCAAGTGTGAACCCACGCACCCGAGCTTGGCACCTCGCCGGGTCTGTCTGCGCTTCCACATATTCATTTCTTTGCTTTTTAAATAGCGTGTATGAAATGGGTTCGTATGGCATCAGTTCATTGCTCGAAGCAGGTCATTCAACAAATTCATCAAAGCTACCTTGTCCGCAGGTTCCCGGGACTGGACGGCCCATCATAAATGGACAAGATGTCAAAGTCTTCTTCCAGGGCAAAGCCTTGAAAGACCAGCTGTATCCGGTTGTGCTCGGCTGCCACAATCACCCACGTGCAGTTGGCGTAGTTGGGATAGCCGTGAGGGTAGCCAGGGCTCTCTATCGTCCCATTGGGACTGTGCAGCGTGTAGCTACAGTTCTGAGCTGGAAAGAGAAAACAAAACAAGGAAAAACCAAGGTTTTAATTGGGTTTGCTGAATCGAGAAGTGCAGACAACACATCAAATTCACTACTTTCAATTCAAGAATGGAGACGGACATGAAATGGCGGCAATATGAGTCAAATTCCATCATTCCAGTTACGTGAAGAAAATGGTCTTCACCATATTAACAAAAAAAAAAAAAGATACAAATTATGAATTGATTTCATTGATGATTAACAACACACGCTGTGATATTCATGAACGAAATACGACGACATATGCCACACAAACCCACCATTAGCTTGATCAAATCCAGCAAAATCGCGTTTGACCACCCGCGCCACAACTTAGACCTGCTTTTGTCCGGAGTTGTATCTCGTCTCCATTCTGTCACAAAATTCTCAGGTGTGCACCTGGGCGAGGGGGTGGAATCGAAGTTGCCCACAGTCCACCGTACATGCTAAGCTCGACTTGCCTTGGCACGAAAGCCAAGTGGTGCCCTGTTTTTATGCAGGGCACACGTGCGGTGGCGATGAAAATATAGTCCAGCGTCTTTGCATTTTCCCCAAATCTTTGCCCATTCATCATTTTCAAACACAATTAACAATGCCCAATTTCGGTTTGGTGATTGCTTGAGGGAACTCAGATTCCTCTCCATTGAACCACCTAAAAAAAAAGACCAAAGCAATCAATCACCGTGTGTTTCATTTATTTATTTATTTGTTTTCATGAAAGCCTTGAAATAGGCCCAGCAAGTCACGAGCTACCCTCCCATTAGCATCAGGTCAATACCAATATCCACATAAAACCTCCACATGCACCTCTAACTTATTTTTATACACCCAGTTAGTTCAGTAAGCTCCCTTCATTACAAGCCTCCATCAGACCAATCAATTGCGCATACAAGCAGCCTGACGGAGGGTTGAATGAGGTCAGACTAGGCGGCGAACCCCTTGTAAATAGTCAATTGTAGATTTGGGCGAGAATGACAAGGCATTTCTCATCTTTTGTTATCACGAGTGATGAATTTTACCCGACCATAAAATTCCAGAGAGAAGAAATGGAACAGAAATCCAGAGAGGGACATTATTTGCGCTCGCAAGATGGGATTAAGAGGCACGTGTTCTTGCAGGCTCAGGAAAAATTAAATAAGGACGATATTTCAAAGCTTAAGCGTATGCGCCGGGTGGCCAGCTTTAGAATCAATAGTGACACACAATGTTAGCTGAAAGAGTAAGTAAATGGTTTGAAAGTGCTCCCTTACTCGCTTATCTGATGGCGGGAACTTTATTCTCTGCCGGGAAACCCGACACTTCATGAACGGCCACAAACGGTGAATAGAACAAAAAAAAATAAGGTCCCTTGGTCTTGAAATGATATGCGACACAGATGATTTGGATGGCAGAGGCATGCATTTGGTTCGGGCAGCCACCTCAAGAGTCCAGAAGTTCTGGATTTGGATCTTTTCTCTGGAGGCTTTGCGTGCTCTCCTCATGCTTGCGTGTTGGGCTGTTTTGTCTTGTTCCCTTTGCCCAAAGTCACCTCTGACTCTCAACAGGATTCAGATAGTTCATAAATAACACCAAGGGGAACGACGTTGCCATCAGGCAGTGCTTTCTGGTTTGGTCGCGATATAATAGAGAACATAAAAAAAAAAATCAAAAAATACAATTCTAATGTTTTACAAAATGTCGTTTTCCGTGTACTGAAATAAATAGCGAGGCCTTGCAACGCTACTCTGTCTTGCTTTGAAAGCCGAGAGCCTTTGATTAAAAGAACCAGCACTCAGGGCATGGGATGAATAATTGAAACTTCACCTGAGGTGCATTATGAAATTAGCTGCTGGGGGCTGCTGACCTACACCGAAGGCCCTCAATGCAGATTTAAAGGGATGCGCCTGGCCGGCAGTCAGCCCTCATAAGATGTCATTTAAGTCAAGTCAGGCTGTGTTGCAAAGTAGAATGCCAGAGCTTCTCACGTTGCAAAAAAAGAGGGAAAAAAAGTGCACTCAGGGAACACTGCGTTTGCGTTCGGGTGGCAGCACTGCGCCGTGAATGGCTACTTTCAACAGATAGTCGCTTTCATCATTCACGGGGTTGGTCTCTGCGCCGCGGGCTACTCTGCGGCTGGCGCGAAAGCATCTCCGCCGTGCACGCTGCCAAATGGGTGCTCGGGGAGCGGTGTGACCTTGCCTGAGAAGCACTCCGGGGCCTTTGCTTGTATGTTGATTGTGTGAGCCATGAGAGCGCCATGGTGTTTGCGTCGCAGCGTGCTGCGACACTTTTGACGAATTTACAGCCGCTGCGCTGCGCAACGTCAGGGTGCGGTGAAGGAGAGAAGGAGCGGAGGAGAAGGAGGGTTTAAAGGCGGAAGGAAGTTGTCCAACGGTGGAATTTACAGGACGGGAATCCTGGAGCTCGGATGAAGAGACAAATGGGAAGGCAATCGAAAAGTGGCAGATTGGAAGAAATGAAAGTGAACGACGGCAGCGGTTGGTGGGAAGGGCAACGTGGGGGGGGGGGGAACAATGACCGGCAAGATGAACGTAAACAAAAGGTATTTTCAGCATCGTGTTGTCATTCACAGCTGAGGGAACACGTGACCTGCGGTGATATTTGCAGCGAGACGGCAGTTTGCGATCGAATCTTAGCTGGTCGAGTGAAGGTATCGGCAGATGATGTGATATGAGACTCAGATGTCTGTGTCACGATATTATGTGGACAACACCATCGGACAGCATTCGCACCGACAGGACCTGCGCATTGATGACATCACAATGATTGTTGTACTCAAAGATATGTCGCTGATCGCATTAAAACATCACCATAAAAGATGCTATTCATTAGCGTTGCGATGGTGTTTTGCAATGTGAGTAAGCATCAAGCTCGTGGACATTCAAAATGATGCCTTTGTTTGAAATCCGCAAAGTGTAAATCTCTCCGTTTTAGGTTTAGTTTGACGGCAGGCGGCAATCGAGAGCGGCAGTAAACAGCACGAAGCTTCTTTTTTGGAAGGTCTTTTCATTATGCTGCTAAATGCGAAGACTGGAGAGTTGAGTTCAATGCAAAGCGCTGATGTGTGTTTGGTTTGCTATTTGTGAATTGTCTTATTATTATTTTGTATTTTGGGACAATTGGGGCGGTTGTGAAAGCGTGACATGACTTGAGTCGAGAGGTGAGTATTTGGGACCGTTTGTCCATTCATTCTGGAAAAAAAAAAAAAACAAACAGTTGTGAGGTCTGAGGCAACCGGTTTTGACACAGGTTGAGCTCTCTCCGCACACCAAACTCATCCAATCATGCGTTTTATAAGCCTTGCTTTGTGAACTGGAGCCGTGTCACACCAGACGACGTGTTTTCCAGAAGAAAAAAAAAAAAAAAAAGCAGCGTCTTTTACAAAATGCCTGAATAAGAGTTCCATTCACTAGCTCAAATGGAGATCCCCACAAAAAGGGCCATTTTTCTCATCACTAAACTTTAACAGGCACAATGCAGCCAGGCAGGTAACATTCTCCTGGCCAAGCCCAGACTTGTCCTTTCGACTGCCAAATAAAGATGCGTAATTTGTCACTCGGTTGAATGCCCTCGCCGCTGCGCCGGAGTCCAGCGATGGCGTGAATTCAATACTTGGCACCGTGCTTGCAAAGCAATTATGATCCGGGTGCTCACCGTTTATACCGGATAAGGAGCAAACCGCTGCATTTTCAAAACACATTTCAAGACACAGCTGATTGTGGGTTTATTTTGATGGAAGAAATATCGCAAGATGCAAACATGTGTCACACCAGAACACAGGATCTAAAATACTGCAGAGCTGGACATTTGGATATCAGGCTCGCAGTAGCGGGAATTTCACATTTAAATGCCATGGCTAAATCTGGTGTGGAAGCTCCCTCCCCAACCCCCCTCCCTTCCAGCTGGGTCATCTTTAACTAGCAGTACCAGCCAAGAAGCCCGCCTCCCAATTTACGGAAGCGTCCTAGAGAAAGAGAGTCAGTCGTGGTATTATTTCTCCTCATTATGCCACTTGAGCGGCATCGTGTTTGTTTTTTTCTTCTTGTTTTGTTTTCGTGTGCAGCTGCAATGACAACCAGCGCTCCTCGGCAGCCCACGCGTAAAGCTTAAAGATGATGAACAGAAAAACAGGCCTTTCAGAGTCAAAGGCATGTTAGACTTGATGATCCCCCCCACTTTCACAAAGACCCCCCCGTTTCTGTGGGAGTGTTTTTTTTTTTTTTTTATCACTATAACAAATTGTAAATCCTCTTGAAAAGACGCGTGCGCACGCACACGCACAAGCTTAATGCACGGAGCAGTTCAAGACGCCTCATTAATGGCTCCCTTCATTCAAGATGCATGTTGTTGCCATGGCGACGACAAAAAGAAAAAAAACCCTCCGCAGAACACGTATGAAGACAAATCCCTTCTTTCAATTATTTATTAGTGCCGCAGTCCGCCTTAACACTTCATGTGGCGCGCGCACACTCACTCACTCACTCACTCACAGGTGCGCACACACACGCACACACAGGCACATTTTGCACAACCAAATGCACAAACCCTTCGTTTCCCTCCCTACTCTTGTGACACCTAAGTCAAAAGTGGAAGTCAATTAGCAGCTCATTTTCACTCTCCTCACATTTAGCATAATCACTGTGGTGATAATGGCATGAAGAATACAAAGCGGGGGAAAAATGCTATATGTAAATGAAGGCTACGTGCACTTAAGACAATTCAAGGACAACTATTATTTGTACGTCGAGGTGAGCTTCAAAACAGCATTCTTCCAGTGCGGTCTGATTGTGTGGAAGTCTATAGAGGACGTGATCACACAGCTCAATTGATTTGTTGGTGCAGTAAACATTTTCCTATCAGCGTTTATGGTCTCAGTCACGACTATCAAGTCTTCGTTCGGCACGTCATTAAATTTGGGTTTGAGAATTACGGCTCCATTTACAAGGGGATCGTTCGACATGAAGCTGGAAATGCTTGAGGCTCTATCA